TCAACATCGTACCGTCGTGTTTTCATCATCGTACTATCGCATTTTCATCATCGTACTATCGCGTTTTCATCATCGTACTATCGTGTTTTCACCATCGTAGTTTCGTGATTTCGTGTTTTCACCATCGTACTATCGACTATCGAGTTTCAGATTAACACATTCATTGGCGATGGCCCTAACGGCATTCCGGAATGCCGTTAGGGCCATCGCCTATGAATGGTTTGATCTGAAACGCGATACTCGACAGTACGATGATGAAAACGCGAAATCACGAAACTACGATGGTGAAAACGCGACAGTACGATGGTGAAAACACGATAGTTTGTCGCGTTTTCATCATCGTAGTATCGTACTGTCGCGTTTTCATCATCGTACTATCGCGTTTTCATCATCGTACTTTCGCGTTTTCACCATCGTAGTTTCGTGAGTCGTGAGTCTATTCAACTCCGTGGAAATATGTAGCAGATAAATACTTAAGTAAAGTATCAAATCATCATATTGATATGTCTGCTTAAAATAATTTTATAGCCTTGTCTACGAACTTTCCGGACAGCCCTCGTATATAGGGAAACTGCTGACCAGTTAGATATATAGAGAAAAATATATTTTGCCGTGAAATTGTAATTCATTTTTATTATGTATGCAAATTCAATTTATTTTATAAAATTATGTCGACATTTAATTAAGTAAAAACACTGCTGACCAATTTAATGTTATTTCAAATTGATTTAAGCCGTAAAACTCTTCTTATTCTATATGGTTAGCAAATTTAACGCTCTTTACATTCAGGCGAGAAAATGCTGACCAGTTAAACATATACACATGTAGTAGAATCTGCTGACCAGTTAGATATATAGGGAAACTGCTGACCAGTTAGAAATATAGAAAAAAATATATTTTGTCGTGAAATTTTAATTCATTTTATAATGTACGAAATTCAATATATTGTATAAAATTTTGTCGACATTTAATTAAGTTAAAACACTGCTGACTTATTTAATATTAATTCAAATTGCAATTATTGCTTTTGAAAATACATTTTTTTCCGTTACAAGATTTTTCTATTGAAATATCACTAACAAGAGATTTTGATAAAACTCATAACATCATAATTCTTTATAAAACATTAATTCAAATTTTTGCATATCTTTAGAGGTATAAAAAGCTGTTTAATATATCCTTTTAAAATCACGGATTTATATTACATGTAGTAATGTAAATCCGTGTTAAAATGTATGATATTATGGTACTTTAAATGTATATATTAATTTAGTTTATAAACATAGTCATATAAATGCAAAAATTAAAAATATAATTAAAAGAATAAAAGTAATTTCCCATCTTTTTATTACCCCCTACGGCGTGTTTATATAACTTCACACCTTCAATGTTTCCCTTCTTTGTGTAACTGGTCAGCATTTTCCGATAATCCTTCTTTATTTAACTGGTCAGCAGTTTCCTATATATCTATATCGTCAGCTAATTCGTCAGCAGTTTAGTGCGACCCCTTCCATGATCGCACCGTTTGTCGGTGAGTTAGTAAATTCTGACCAAGCACCGGTAGACGCACGGACAATGCGATACGATATTATTCCAAATGTCGCTTCGCATTGTCGAGTGTCGCTTCGCGTTGTCGAGTATCGCTTCGCGTTGTCGAGTGTCGCTTCGCATTGTCGAGTGTCGCTTCGCAATGTTGAGCGTCGCGGTGTAAAAATCATAAAAATAACGCGACATTTACTCGACATTTTAAAAATGTCGCTTCGCGATGTCGAGTGTCACTTCGCATTGTCGAGCGTCGTATCGCATTGTCGCGTTGTCGTTTCGCATTGTCGAGTGTCGTGGTATGCACTTCTACCAACCTCGACACTCGACAATGCGAAGTGACAATGCGACAACGCGAAGTGACATCGTGACAACCGAAGTGACATCGCGACAACGCGAAGCGACGCTCGACAATGCGAAGCGACACTCGACAACGCGAAGCGACATTTCTTAAATGTCGCCCTTTTTTACCGCGACATTTCTAGGCGACAGTGCGACATATCGTTTGACACTGTCGAGCGTCGCTTCGCATTGTCGCATATCGCTTCGCGTTGTCGAGCGTCGCTTCGCATTGTCGCGATGTCACTTCGCATTGTCGTGTGTCTACCCTTAGACGCGACGGACGACATTCTAAATGGCACGATAAGGACACCGTAGCTTGGCCACAAACTTCACAAAAATGATAAAATAAAAAGTGATTTTTGTGCCCCCACTATAGGGGCAATTTAGATTTACCATTGACCGTCCGCCCTTCCGTCCATCCGTCTGTTCCCTTTTTGCGTCGCACGTAGCTCAAAAAGTAATTGACCTAGAGTCATGAAACCTTACAGGAATGTTGATTAGCATGTGAAGTTGTGCACCTTGGTATTTTCATGTGAATATATTTAGTATTTTAAGAGTTATTGCCCTTGACTTAGTAAAAATTTGCAACTTTTAACTTGTTTCACACGTAACTAAAATATATTTGACCTAGAGTCATGAAACCTTACAATAATGTTGCTCAGCATGTGTAGTTGTGCACCTTGGGGTTTTCTTGTGGATCTATTCAGTATTTGTAGTACTTGCTCTTTACTTAATAAAAGATTTTTAGTTTTCAACTTTGGCACATGTAGCCAAAAAAGTATTTGACCTAGAGACATAAGATTGACAAATCGGTGGAATGTGGGGCACCCTTGTCCTATGGACACATTTCTAGTTTTCTTTTTATATACCATTTAGATATCAAGAATAGTCTAAATAACTTCTTAATACACTTGTTACTATATATAGTAACAAAATTGCCTATGATTTCAACTGATTATGAGTGTCACGTGATCTATTATGAGTTTGCGGCCCGGGGCCGAGAACTAGTTATCAGCCCGCAGAACAAGTGCACGTTCACAAACTGAAACAATGACGTCATATTTTACGTCATCAAACAGTTAACTGTAAATGTGAAAGTAGGTTGTCAGCACGAATCGCTTTATTTTAATTATGAGAGCTTTTAAAAGCGTATTTAGTACAAACACATTTTTGTTACTATTGAAATCTGAAGAAGTAATACGACAAATTCATTCCGAAAAAAAAAATGAAAATAAAACTTGCTTCTAGATTCTACTGCTTTGAACACACAAACAGTAGACTCTAAACATCGCTGTACAGAACAGTAGAAGAGTACTGTAGACAAGAATTAACGAAAGAACTTCAAAGTATTTGTTGGGTTTTTTTTTGTGTTTTTTTTTTTAAATGCTACTATTAGATCTACCAAGTGTATTATAAGAGGTTAATACACGGCAGGAGAGGGCCGGAAGGTGATAATCGGCCCGCAAAATGAATAATGGACCCGAGGGCTTTATTCATTATTCATTCAGGGCCGATTATCACCTTCCGGCCCTACTCTGACGTGTATTAATGTAAAAAAAACAACAACAACAAATAGAAATCTACGTTCTTTGGTTGAAATTCTTGTGTTCTGTACGGAGATGTTTACTGTTTGCGTGTTCAAAGAAGCAAGTTTTATTTTCATTTTTTTTTCGGATTGAATTTGTCGTATTATTTCTTCAAATTTCAACAGTAACAAAAATGTGTTTGTACTAAATACGATGTGCTGTCAACCTACTTTCACTTTTACAGTTAACTGTTTCATGACGTAAAATATGACGTCATTGTTTCAGTTTGTGCACGTGCACATGTTCTGCGGGCTGATAACTAGTTCTAGGCCCCGGGCCGCAAACTCATAATAGGTCACGTGCCACTCATAATCAGTTGAAATCATAGGCAATTTTGTTACTATATATAGTAACAAGTGTATTAAAAGACATTAATACACGTCAGAGTAGGGCCGGAAGGTGATAATCGGCCCTGAATGAATAATGGCCCTCGGGCTAAAGCCCTCGGGTCCATTATTCATTTTGCGGGCCGATTATCACCTTCCGGCCCTCTCCTGCCGTGCATTAACCTCTTAATAATGTCACGTTTTTGTCACATTTAGATACAACTGTAAAATTTCCGGCTGCCAGGTCGATACAGAAAAAAAAACTGTCTAAAACTTGTTTTTTCTTTTATGTAACTTTTAAATGGTAAGATATGTCTTAAAAAAATACATAAAAGTCGTTTTAATTTCATTGCCAAACTTGTATTACTTTTAAAGTTCAGGCCGCTAGGCCGCCAACTTAACGCCGCCATACCGTTGATCCGCCATGCCGCCAACTTCACACCGCCAGGCTGTTGGGCCGACAACTTCACGCCGCCAGGGCGTTGGGCCGCCAGGCCGCCAACTTCACGCAGCCAGGCCGCTGGGCCGCCAGGCCGCAAACTTCATACATCTAAGGAAAAAATGTTTTATTAGGGAAGGAAAAAATGTTTTATTAGGATAAGAATTTAAATTATGATGGAATATGGTAGAATATGCAAAACAAAAATAGCTGACATATGTTTCCGGTTCGGATCGCAATATCCATTCCTTGGGAACCCGCCCATGGACTCAGATATCATTATTATTGAAACATGTTGTGTAACAAAAACGTGTTTTTCTTCTTAATAGTTTTGTTTTTAATCTTTTTACAAGAAGCTAAAAGATGCTTAAACCGATAGCCAACAATCTAATTAGACTTTATGGTCTTTCCCTAAACTGGTGGTATGGACATCATAATTTTTATAGAATTTATATAATTTATCTTGATCAATAAAAACAGTCAGAACGTTAGGAATTTTACATTATTTCAAATCTTATATATTGTGCTAGTTTGTTTTCCATACCGAAAAAATAAATATTTCGATGCTGTTATGTCCTCCAACTTTTGAGAGTATCTTAATTCTCACTTGTAAAAACAAATATCATAACATTTAACAGAAATAAATCATCGTGTATACGCTCTAAAAGTACATGTAGTCAGCAGTGTTATGATCAATATCTTGAGAAATCGTTCATTCTATTTCTTAAAAATGTAAATAAGAAAATTTTACACAATACATTTCAGTTAAGATATCATACAGGCAATTCAAAAAAATAGCAATAGAAGTTAGCAGAACTGATAACGAACGACTCGTAGCTGCCTTTCAGTACTTTGATACGGACAATACTGGTTTTCTCAGTGAGGAAAAACTACGACAAATACTTCTTCCAGCAATATCTTATGACTTCACAAAAAAGGACATGAATGGGCTTATTTCTGATTTCAGTTCGGATGGAAAAATAGATTTAGAAGGTAATTTATAAGCTCTGTTAATAACAATACAATACTATTGTGTTCAAAAGTAGAGTAATCATTAGCTATTAGCAGGATTGTTTTGTATAGCGTATTTTAGTTTTCCATAGATAGAAAATAAATACCTTCAAAACCTCATTTCGGTGCTGTTATGTCCTTCGAATATTATTTGAATACAACATTAGTCGGTGCCAAATGGTATTAGAAACGCTGCTTTTATTATCTCTCATGAAATGATTCTTGACAAAATGCCTCTACAATCTCACCTTTTCACTATTGTGAGTGATCTCCATTTTGCAAATTATTTTACTTAGCCATTATATTGAATGTTGTTTTCTACAGAAACGTAACTGTCTCTGAAAATCTGAAATCTTTACATGCAAGATAATGAATTAAGAGTTAACTGTTACCTGTGATAAAGTAGATATTTATCAAGAATCGTGTTACTAAAAAAATAAAGAAACAGTGGAGTTTTTAACTGTTAGACTTTTTCGGCCGTATATAGATCTTTTTACAATACGATTTTCCATAGCAACCGATGTTGCATTTCGCGCATGCGCATTCAGCGTAGGGCAAAAGCGCAATAACGATAGACTACATTTAGCGTACTTGTAGGCTATTAAAGACGTGATTATAAGTTATGTCACCCAGAAAACAGAATTTTTGTGATGAATTAAAGCGGTAAACTTGTTCTTCAAACGTGAATTGATATTTATAACAGATATACAATGTTAGCGGGACTAATAATTCAAAGACCAAAAGTCCTGCTCAAGGTATCATACAATGACTTTTTCATCAGTAATTTAAATTAAAACAGCAGGGTGTTAAAGATACAATTTTATTACCCATGTATTACATAATATTACACAATCGGTATTCCTTTGAAAAAGGATTGGCAAGGCGGTAAGTGTCAAACGGATTGACACGTGATCGAGTGACCGCTTAATTGTTATTTGCCAGCTATAGTTTTCAGTATCATTCAACCGGGACGTTTTAGTACCATGACATATTTAATCACATAAAAGTATGAAATTATCGTTATTTAAGGTACTTTTTAAGTTTATACCATAAATTCGCCGTAGGGAACGTGTTACAGTATCGCGTTTTTCGGTTACAGTATAGAATTTTCAAGATGGAGGATTATTTATGGGAAGAGAGGTAGGTGATTTTTATTCAGGTCCATACTACTAGTAGTGTAGTTTCTAAAAGATGTTTTTGTGCTTTGCTTGTAAGGAACAGAATCCGGTATCTAGTCATATATTTCTTCAGACCCTGCACCGCAGATTTATCGCTATATTGTCTCATAAATTTGAAGATTTGACAGTTTGAAAATTTGAATCGAGAGACCAACGCATTTTTCTGCAATTTCGACATTATTTATGCATGCCTAGAAAAAGTAAATCTACAAAACGTTAGTCCTTTATGTTTAGAAACGTTTAAAAAAGTAAATGATCAGTTAAACCTATTTTCCTGTTGGTAAAATGCGTTTGAAAAAATAAACAATGTTACAGTATAGAGCGAGGTAATTTGTGCAGGGTTACAGCATAGACCTAGCGATTTGTATCCGATTTCGTTACAGTTTATACCCAGATTTCGGTTACAGTTTAGACTTCGATATTTTCTATATAATTATACTAGGTAAAATGTATAAATGTTACATAGACTTTTAAATCTCTGTGAGCTTATTGGCACGTTGGCTATTCGTCCGTCTGTCGTACGCATGTGTGTGTAATCTCATCCGCTCAACTAAATGTGATGAAATTTACATGACTTTCTACCAATTAAGTTGTTCAAATGGTTTCGGTTGCAATCGGAGATACGAAAACCCAAAACATAGATTTTGAAAAAAGGCAATGTTTAAAGACCCTTCTCATCTCGAACCAAAAGCATTCAAATCAAATCATGATCATGGCGTCATTTCGAATGCTTCTTTGTTGAAGTTACGATTATTTTGTCATTATTAAATTAAAAGTCGTTTTTTTTTTATTTCAGACATCCTGTATAGCAGTTTTCATGTTTCTGAAAAAGAAAATAATATTGAAAGTTATAGAGTATAAATTAAGGTCAGACAATTACAATATCTTCTCTAGTGATGGAGGTACATAATAGTGGCAGAGTCGGGATAAGGCCGTCTTTCATTTACTGCTGTAGTTGAAATCCAATCATGACTTTGGATTCTTTGTATGTGAGGAATCTATCAAGCTAATTTACGGAAGGTCGGTGGTTCTAGTCAGGCTAAAATGTCTGAAATGTTTCACAAAGGGTATCTGGGGTCTTTCTTTACACTAAAGCAGGAATGTTTTCACATGACCTCAGTGTCGTTGAAACTTTAAATCCAAGAAAGCCAAACGTAACAAAATAGAGTTAAACAGAATCCCTAAAGAAATTCGAACACAACAAAATTGAAAATGTTCATAAACCCTTTTAAATACTTACAAAATACATTATGGTAGATGGAAATTCCAACTTAAAATAGAATTTAAGGTTGCAGTATTAAGTATAAAGTTGCACTTAAATACTGTTTTTAATCATTCTTAGGGTATTGCCTGATTGTTAATTGTGTCTTTTGACAGCTTATCTATGGTATACAGGCTTCATAACCGCCGATCCCCTCTCAAAATTTCATTTTGTTTAGTTTCACTCATTGTATTCTCGTTTATGGCACACGCAATTTTTAACCTGGGGGGTAATATGCCGCTTTTCATAGAATGGCAATAACGTGTCACATTGAAGGTTCCATGATAACCGCCATATGAACACATCCACAGATGTTAAAAAATCTGAAGTGTACCAGTTCATGTTTAATGTGAATTCTGCTGAAGCCGGTGCTAGGAGGCGTGAACGGTAGCTTGCAGTTACCACTACCGTCCATGAACAGGTTTAGTCAAACTGAGCCTGCAACATTTTCATGTTTTCCGTGTTGGACTTCTGTTAAGGATTCTTTTTTCTCTATTTTATTACTAATAGGCATTATTATAATGTGTAATGAAATCAAGCAATAATCTTTCTTCTCTCATTACAATTCGATAAAAGTTACTGTTGTTGTCGTGAAAACAGTCCTTACTTAGGACATTACTTATTCTGCAAAAAGTCTCAACCTGAAACTTAAAGTAAGAAAAATAGCAAACTATCACTTTTCTGCTGAAGAAAAAAAGTAATACCCCGGTCACATATTCACGGAATACGCCCACGGAAGAGACACGGATTAATTCCGGCATCGTCCGTAGCTACCCGTACTGGTCAGTAGCTCTCCGTATTGTAACCGTAATCAATCGTTGTAGTCCTTGTATATCCGTAGCGATCCTTGACAATTTTTGAACATGCACAAAAATTTGCTACGGAAAAATCAACCGTAGCGTATCCCTACTAGTCCGTATTAATCCGTACTGATACGTACTGGTCCGTACGAAAACCGTACTAGTCCGTACTGATTCGTAGTTCATCAACTTGTCAAGGATTTCCACGGTTTGGTACGGAGAACTACGTATTTGTACGGTTACCCTACGTATAAGCTACGGTTTTAATACGGATTAATACGGCATTGTCACGGAAAGCCACGATCGTAATACGTTGTACTACGGAGAGGCAAGGATTAGCACGGTCTTATACGATTTATTGCGTTGCAACACGGAATGGTACGGCCCATCACTGTTCAGTACGGATAAATTAAGTATCATGTACTTTTTCAAGGGTATAAATACTACCTTCTTGTTAAAAACAGACATATTTGCGGGAACATTTAATAAATGATAATTGCCATTTACTGGCTGCAACTTTATATTGAAATGGCTCTGATTGCGGAGGCAGTGGTCGAGCTGCTTGATGATATGCATAGAAGTAAATTTATATTAATATCGTACTACAATTCATAAGTAATAGAATAACATTTAATGTAACATATCTTACAAACATTGGATCGTGAAATTGGAGTAAATATGTACATAAAACGAAGTGTCTCATAAGCCTCGGACGCTTGCTCTTGAGTGATAATAAGATTAATTAACACGTTTTTTACATATTTTTTAAACATAAACATCACGATAATTAGTGTAATTGTAAGATGAACATCAAATCTTAAAATGAAAAGAGAAGCAGTATTGATCAACATTTTTCATTAATGATTACTAGTCCATATCTAATCAGGTAAGAGAAGACAGACGAGATGGTGGACTAGAGATGGGCTTTTACGAAGACCGCTTCATGTTTAGTATGAGGCTATCATGGCCGAACTTGTTGAGGATCCAGCGTCCTTTAAGAAATTCACTTTTATTGGACCTGATGTGTCTCGGGGGTCGGACGCGATTAGGCTAAATCCTCTCGGCCAAAATCATTGACCTCTGCATTTCGTTTTCTAGGTGTTCCTTTCTTTTGAGGCATTTTGAAAATGAGCAAGCAAGAGGTTGTGTACGGATGTATAAGGTCCGTATAGATCCGTGGCAATTCGTTCTTCTCCGTATCAATACGTTCTTCTCCGTATCAGACCGTACTTATTCGTACTAACCCGTGCTTATACCGTAGCAGACCGTAGTGTATCCGTAGTTCGTCCGTCCTGATTCGTGTCGCTCCGTATCAAACCGTGTCGGTTCGTAACAATCCGTGTCTCTACGGGGGCTTTTGGTGGTAAATCCGTCGGGCTCCGTACTCATACCGTTGTGTGTCCGTACTGGAACCGTAGCGGAATACGGAATTTCACATTTCCGTAGTAATCCGTGAGCGATTAGACCGTAGCTCTTCCGTGGCATTATCCGTGAATATGTGACCGGGGCATTATACAACCTTTCAAGAATGTATTAAATAGAAAGGTATGAGTTATTTCATAAAAATAATGGATACACGAACTTTGTTTAAAATTTGGCAAGTATCTAAACTGTAACCGAAATCTGGGTATAAACTGTAACAAAATTGGGTCAAAGTCGCTAGGTCTATGCTGTAACCATTCAAAATTAACCTCGCTCTATACTGTAACATTGTTTATTTTTTCAAACGCATTTTACCAACAG